GCGCGGGTTGGCCGCGCGCATGGGCCGGGGGTCGAGGAGCCGAGACCAGCCCCAGAGGTCGCTGCTGCTAGTGCAGGTCGGCTGTAGTGGAGCAACCAAGGAGAAGACTAACGTACCGTTATTTCAGGCCCTTTCTCTAGCGCCATTCTATTATGGTAAGAACTTTTTTAGCCGTGGCCTCGGGGTCGTCGCGGCTCGGTTCGGGTCCGGACGACGGGGATCTCCCTGGGGCGTTCCTCGGGGTCTCCCGGCGGCCGAGCACGGTCGTTCGGGTCGGTAGCTCGGGTCGGCGGGTCGGGTCGGTAGGCAGCTCCGCCGTAGCACCGGGAAGAGGCGACGTCGTCTCGCACCTGCACACAGGTCGGGCTGGGAGCTCGGCCCGACCCCTCCGACGATCAAGTTAGCGACGTGGAGGGGGTTTAGGAGGAGGAGAAACCTCCGTGTGTTGAGTGTGTCATCCCCCTTTTTGCTTAGGACTCAGGGGTATTTATAGAGGAGGTTTGATGTTACGTGACGTAGCTGTCTATAGGGCAGGATTGTACCTTTGGTGGCGTCTGACATTGCCACTGGGGCTGTGTGGGAGGCCGAGCTGCTGCAGGGTATGGTGAGCCTCGGGCAGTGTGTCGCTCAGGGGGATGCTGTCATGGCGTGTCACATCACCATTTTTGCCCCTATCATCTGTCATATTATTTGATTTAACTTAGTTCGAAATTTTGATCAGTATGACAAAACTTGATGTATATATAAAATCTTATACTTAAATTTTTTTATATAGGTGTATGTTAGTCCTACCAAGTGTGAAACCACTTCTTTGCAATGGCAAGTGAGAAAATCTTTTACTCCCTCCACATCTCAATCATTCACTCATCCCTTTGTCCATCTCCTACATTTGTCTATTGGCATCAGAACCAACTTGTTTTATCTTAATGTCATAGTCTTTAATTGGTATAAAATGTTATTGTTCGATTATTGTGCAACGGAAGATGACACTAACTTTATTATTATTATTATTATTATTACTATTATTTTGTAGTAAATACATTGAAAGACGTGTGTCGGGACAATCAAAGTTGGGTTTGAATGTAAAAGAGACGCTCCTACTTTATGCATGTTTTGCCAGTGCTACAGTTGCTGGTCACCGTTGATCGGTTTGGAGATTTGTGAGTACAGTAGTATTTTTTTTTAATATTAATTTAAAATTTCTTGAACATGCATTGATTCGTTGTGCTGTTTAGTTGACTTTTTGATTTCTGTGCAAGAATAAGATTTTTAATCTTTTTGATTCTCGGTCACCACATGGCCTTCGATTTTAATTTTGAGGCTTCTTATTTTATTGCTCTCGGGGGTTCTTAACGATGTTATTTTTAATAATATAATATATTTTATTTTTTAAAATGATTTTACATATTTATCAGAAGCCAATCAAATCCATAAGAAACATTAGTCATTAATTTTGCTTGGTTAAATGAGAAAAATTAGCTTTCGATTGGATCAAATTAAATTGTAATATTTCTTAGAATCATAAATGTAATAGTGGTATTGGCGTCATATGCTTTCGTTATTTTTTTGAGTTGTAGGTATATTTAGAAAGCAGATAATAATTATTGTGAGGTAAAAATTATCTTTAAAGGATTATACTAGACTTATGAGGATAGTAAATATTATAAATAAATAATTTTTTTCTCCCTCTGTGATGAATTTTAAATGTTGTTAGGGATATTTTCCATCAACTGTTTATTATGAATGATTATAAAATCTTACATGCAAGAAAATCATGTGGCTAATTGATTAGTCACTCGTATTAGAGCCAATAAATTCTTTAATTTTTGGAGGAATTTCCATCTTTTGGATTTGGATATATCATTCGTTGATATATCAATTTTAGTAATTAAGTTTTTTAACTTTTCTTTTGTATATATATATATATATATATATATATATATATATATATAGTTTATGCAGCTATAACTTGCACCTTTGTCTTGGCTGACACAAAGACTTGGAAGAGAGAGGTACACTACTCCCACTCCCACTCCCACTCCCACTCTGTGATCAAAGATGGCCGTTGTGCTTGATTCCTTCATCTCCGGGCTGGTCCGTACGTTGATGGACATGGCTAAAGAGGAGGTGGACTTGCTGTTGGGCGTCCCCGGGGAGATCCAAAAGCTCCAACGCACTCTCCGCAACATCCAGTCTGTCCTTCGCGACGCCGAGAAGCGGCGGATCGAGGACGAGGCCGTCAACGACTGGCTGATGGAGCTGAAGGATGTCATGTACGACGCCGACGACGTCCTCGACGAGTGCCGCATGGAGGCCGAGAAGTGGACTCCTCGTGAGTCCGATCCGAAGCCGTCCACCTCGTGCGGATTTCCCATCTTTGCTTGCTTTCGCGAGGTCAAGTTCAGACATGCAGTGGGTGTCAAAATCAAGGATCTCAACGGTCGGCTGGAAGAGATCTCGGCCCGAAGGTCCAACCTGCAACTCCATGTGTCTGCTGCCGAACCAAGGGTGGTTCCTCGAGTTAGTCGCATAACTTCCCCGGTGATGGAGTCTGACATGGTTGGCGAGCGACTGGAGGAGGACGCCGAGGCACTGGTGGAGCAGCTGACAAAG